GATCAGAGAAAGAAGAATGAATGACAGCACAGCAGACTGAAAATATCCTAGGCTAGGTTTACACATATGCCATCACCAGATGTGAAGGAAAACCCTGCAGTAAGTGGGGCCTTATGTTCCCAAAGATTTCAGACGTAAACTCAGCAGAGCATTCTGCATACTGATTACAGAATGTGCTCAAAAATCTGCTTCATAGAAGAACAAGTGTGAGAGCATTAGGCTTTCCATGATAGTACAACAATGCTAGGAGACAGCAACGGTGGCAGAAAGAAGTCTATGACAGCTCCCTAGATTTCCACCTCCTTGTGTGTACACCCTGTGCAATCCCTTCCCTCACTGAGTGTGCAGAAAACATGTAGATATGATGGATATAACAGAGGTTAAAGATGTAATTAAGATTTGTAATGAATTGACTTTGAGTTCATCAAAAGGGAGATTAACTTGAGTAGGGATGACTTAGGTGAACTTCTAAAAGAGAGACACCCCCTCTCTTACACACTTCCCACTGGTCTCAAAGAAGTAAGCTGTTCTGTTCTATGAGTGTAGGGGGGATGCCATATAGCAAAAATCTGGGGGAAGGCTCTAATGGCTGAGAAATTCCCTGGCAGACAGCTGGCAAGAAAACAGGGACATTAATCAAAAACCTGCAACTCCGCCAATAACCACGCAGGGTTGGAAGAAGACCTTGGGCCTCAGATGAGACCACAGTCCCATCTGACAATTTTTATACAGTCTCATGGAAGTCTATAGATAATACCCATCTGATCCAGGCTTGGCTATGTGACCTACAGAGAAGGTGAGATAATAAAACCATGAAGTTTATGAAATTTATTATACAGAAATAAAATACTAATATTGGAACGTAATTCCTAAACATAAAAAAAATAGGAACAATATAGCCTGTAAACAACAAAAAGTCTTCACAAACTTTCACTGGTGGGTGATACCAATGCAGTGCTAGGTAGTTCCCTGAATATACTCATGCAATAGCCTTTTACACACAGACCCATAGAGCTCATTATTTTCACTGGCCAAACATCTTGGATGACATACTTCAAACCACAACTAGCTAAGACATAGAAAGAACTCTACTGTCCCACCTTATTCTTTGTTCCTCTTCCCGCATTGGGTACATAATCCGTCCTAATATTAAGAGATTTATCTACCTTAATAAAAGTACAAAGATGAAAAGAAAAATTATCATGGCTTCTGTAAATGTGCATTTTAACTTTAACAAATTTCCTCAGACCCTTTTGAAAAAGTTATGCAAGAGTACATAATATATATGCAAAGAGTTTCTAAACTACTATCACTTTGAATATTTTAACTGGCATTTCCTTGATGTAGTACATTGGGTTACAAACTTTCTTTAAAACTTAAATCTTGTCTTAGTAACCCCAAAGGAGAAGAAGGCTAAATTCTGATATGGCCAGGAAATGTAGGCTAATGCACCATTATGCTTGAAAATGGAAACTTTCTTCTGAAAGTTTAATATCCTCCAAAAAAGAAAAATGTGGGTTTTTTTCTCAAAAAGTATCCTAGGACAAATGTTTGTACAAAAGAACTATTTTTTTCAAATATGTACTTATGTGTTTTATTATTATACTTTCCCTTCATATAGATTAATACTTACAAAAGTGTACTCTTTAAAAAAATTTTTTTATGTGTCAAACATGTTTTTTAAAAAGCTATGTAGGAGTGACCTGTGTGTGTGTGTGTGTGTGTGTGTGTGTGTGTTTTAGAGTGTTTCAAGTGAGAAGTGTTGTTTCACGTAATATATTGGAGAAATTCATTGGGTTTACTTTCTCCCCCCTACAAGGGGAAATATTCAACATTTAAAAGATTCTTAGTTTTTCTGTGACATTATACTTCAATTAAACACAAACTAGAAGAACATATTTTAGTGACAATGTTACATATAAAATATTTATGTTTTCCAATAATATTAACAAATTGTATTATATATCAGGGAAAAATAGTTTTATGTAATGTTTCACAATTGTCTTTCAATCCTAAAAGCTTACTTCATAAATATTAAAAGGAAAGAATATCCTATTATGTAAATCCACAAAGTGTCACTAGGTGATAAGATATATTAACTTCTTTTATGTTGCTCTCTGATACTATCTCAACTGATAAATTAGAAAGATTATATTACAGGCTTTAATATAATCATATGTTTATTTTTCCTGGGAGGATTTTTAGATGATGTCTTAAATTGTTTTATTATTTTCCATTTGATAGTAAATCAATAAAGCTAATAATAATACTACACTCTGGATAGGTTAGCCAGGAATATTGTTTGTTCTCTTAAATTTTTCATTAAAAGTGTACAAAATAATATTTTAAAAAGAAATAAGCATGACTATAAAATGTACCTCATAAATAAAGCAGGAAGTAGACCAAGTCAACACAATCTATGTTGAGCATGGAGAGAGTTTAAAATTTGCAAATAGTTTTATCTCACAAAAACAAAAGAACTGCTACTTAAAAATCAAGAGAAAAAGAATAATCATAGTAAAAGAGCTTCAGAGATAGTAACCATACATAATAAAATCATGTCAATAAGAAAAGATGTCATAATTAGATAAACTAAATATCTAGCTGCAGAAATGATATGCCCATGATTCTAGATATAGCAAAATGTGTGGCTAAAAATTTGCTTAAGTTCTTTTCTCTAAGTTTCAGATTATTCAAGTCATCCTGCAATTAAAAAAATACAAATGAGAAAATACTATTATTTTGAGTAGGCTTCTTGGAAGGAGAGATATTCATTAAATGTTGTAAACAAAATCTTGCCAAAATCAACCTTTATTTTTCTCATTACTTTGAAATCTACTTCACTGATTGTTGGATTTCATACAAACTGTGTCCCTCTAGGAATTCTCCAGATTCTACGGAGCACAAACCAAGCCTGGTCTTGGTCTTCCCATAGGGTTTTAGTTTTTTGTTGTTGTTGTTATGTTAAAGATTGATATGTGATGATGGTCTTGTTAAATAAGGATTTGAAATGCCTGAATTCCTATATATTAACATTAATGCATAGCTGAAATAGAAAAAAGAGTGATTCACACATACATCCCTCTCTCCCTACATGCCTCCTGTTATCATGTTATAGTGAGAGTCAGAAAGAGGACAAGATATCCACACACTGATGATCTAAAGCCTCTTTCATTAGCAATTGATATCTAAATGTATCTCAGCAGTAATTCCCAGGGCTCTGCTGGGATGATTCAATACACATTGTACTCCATTCAACTTTAAGTGACAATGAGATAAGCAATTATCTTTTTCTAATTACCTCATTTTCTTGAGATGCATTCAGGATCAATGTTCAGAGCCTCTTATTTTTACAAGTTCAATTTTAAGAACCAATATCCACATAAAATTGATATTTTCTCAGGTTTTAAATAGTAATACTTGTAACTGTGCATGGTTAAGGACAACAGTGATAATATTGGTGGTGCTTGGGTGATGATGGTAGTGGTAGTGGCAAGGTATGTGAACTTTTTTACAATTCTTTTTATTATTATTAACTGAAGAAGCAATACATCTAACAGTTTTGCTAACTTCACTCTTACTGTCTGACACAAGTAGAATATAAAAAGAAATGCAATGCATAAATAAACATAAAGATAAAAACACTGGAGGAATTAACCAAATATCCACACCAACCATGATTAGACTGAATGTCAAAAATAAAAACTGAACAAAATCAAAGTGTTTCATTTTTCTCTCATATAAACTTGTCCAACAATTCCAAAAGCACAGAAATCCAAGACTTGCTTCACAACCCAAAGGAGAACGTATCTAGACTACTGGAGTGGAAATGGAATTAGATGCATTCTCTCATATCAGCTCTAAGAAATGCACAGTCCTAGTAAAAACAATGGAACTTGAACCACTAAAAAAAAAGCTATTAGAATAAGTGAGTTTAAATGAGTCTTGTATAACAGACCAAAAAAAAAGTGTGTGTGTGGTGGGGGGAGAGAAGCATACAGAAGCTGTACAAGCTAGGAGAAAGGTAGATATAATCGTAGAAGCAACTCAGGGCATTTTTAGGAGTGGTAGTACAGACTCCTGTTTGGGGGCTAAAGCCTACTGGGAAGATTCCCCAGGCTCAAGCTCACAGTTTCAGAAGCCTGGGAACGAGAGAGGGGACCTGACCGTGGTCCTGAAAGAGAACCACTTGCAGATTCCGAACAGTTTCCAAACATCCACCCAGCATCAGGTCTATTTTTTTTTTTTCTTTTTCTTTTTCTTTTTTTTTCCCACGCCAATCTAAACAAGACAAATATCCAGTAATATTTATCCTCAATAAAATGTTGAAACTTTCTCTTATAATCAGATCAGGCTTTATAATATCCAGCTACTCCTTCCTGATTAGTCTCACTCAGTTAAGCCAATTTCAGGATCAAGAGGTATGCTACTCTAGCTAAAAATCAGGAATGAAGATTCTGACAAACTCACAACACTTAGAAGTCTACCGAAAGCTCACACTTGGCAATCTTGATTCTAGTCTGCACTTCTTAAAACTCAGATGGGAAATCATGTCAAGCTCATAAACCTCTCGGAATGAAGCTCCAGGAAAGAACACTCCAGACTCTCCAACCTCAGGAGCCGTGAAACTCTAGAAAGATAAATTGCACAATATCCCAATTTTCACCTCGTAGAATTATAACCAATTCCCTAACATTGCATCAAAAATGCAGGTCCCACAGGGAATACGGGCGTCGGTGTTTCTTTAGGCTGTTTTTCAGCCTTACAAACCCAGGAAGTCAAGAGAACCCACTACACCAATCCAAACTGTTAATACTATACTGAATCACCGGAGAGGGGGGGAAAAAAAAAATCTGCTCACAAAAGACACCTTGCCAAGAACAGAAGGAAATTCATTGTTCTGGTGCAAAAAGAAAGGTGGTAGCGAAAGTATGTAGAAGGAAAAAAAAAAAATCATTCTCCGGAAAATATCATACAACTCATTGAAGAGTAAGACTTACGTGTTCCGTCAAAACGGGTGGCGATGGTGTCGAGGAAGGTGTTCTGGGGCGCCAGTAATCCTTTCATAACCGGCATTTTTCCAGCGTGGTGTGAAATTCTCCATCAAAGTTTGTCCAGAAGGATGGTAGGGATGGAAAGTGCCAAGAAGGGAGAAGGGGGACGTGATGACGGCAAGGGAGGGGGGCCTGGCTTGGTGATGGGGCCGATCAAGGGAAGAAGGAGGATGGAAGGAGAGAGAGAGCGAGTTCCAGCCGCTGCTGCCCTCGCAAGAGCAGCCCCGCGAGCGCTCTCCGAGCCCGCCCCGCACCTCCAGGCTCAGCCTGGCGCAGGCTCCCTCTCCCGCCCCCTCCACCTCCGCCAGCTGCCGAAACCCCCCCACCGTCCCTCCGCGGGCTACTGTGCCCGCCAGGCGCCGCCGCGCGGTGCCTGTCCCCCACCTCGCCTTCCCGGAAAAAGCACGCGACGGTCCAGGGCGCCGCGCCCTGACCTAAGGTTGTAGGGTCGTGGAGGACTGCGCCTGATCTGGGGGAAGCTGTGTCGTTGAGCCTCCGGGTCTCCAAGGGGCGTTAGGAAGCGTGCGCGACTCCCACCCCCCAGGAGCCAGGAAACAAAGACCCCTTTGTTCCCGCTCTGGCCCTCTCCCTGGGAGACGAGTCCCGTGGGTGTAGTATTGTTGAAGGGGAGGAGACAGGTCCGGGCAGGTAACAGGCCTCCGCCTAGAACTTGGGAGGGGGAGGCCCCCCAGTGGTGTCCAAGGGAGCAGAGGCAGCCAAGGACACCCGGGGGGAGGGGGAGGAGGTGGCCCCCTTCCGGTGCACCTGCCATTTCGAGTTCCCGCGACAGGAGTAGGGCAGCTCCAAGTTAGTCGCGCGCCCCATTTCCTAGTCACAAGGGTCTTTTTAACCCTGGGAATTGGCCCAAAACTCAGGGGGTTTTCAGTCTCTCCTTGAGCTTCAAAAAGTGGTGTTTCAATCACCTTCCTCCGAATACCATTGGCCTCCCCCACCCCATCCCACAGTAAAGGGCGGGGGCTTAAATGGACAATGGATGGTTTTTCCCTCTTCAGTGAAATGTGAATAAAGCATTTCTAGAAAAGTTTGCTATTTTATTGATTTGCAAAATAAGTTAAAAAAGTAAGGTTCCCTTGCAAACAGCTTCAATACAAATCCCCTAACCGTTTTCCTCCCCGCCCCTCTCCAATAACAAAGCTGCCCGCCAGACTAACACCTCCAAGAAGAAAGCCTGGCCTAGCTCCAGGAACCGCAGGTGTCTTAGAAAACGAAAGTGGTCTCTCGGCCATTCTCCCTCTTGCTGACGCGGGGACTCCCTCTTTACTAATGTTACGCCTAGAAAAGCCGCCCAAATCTGCGGCTCGGCCCTGCGGGAAGTGGAGGGGAATACCCAGAGCTGGATTCTACGGAAAATCTTAAAAAGGAAAAGAGGTGTGAAAGGAAAGTTGAGAACCCACGGATAGAAAAATGAATGTTAGCCCAGGTGCTCGTGCACCCGGAAGGAAAGAAGGGGAAAAGCGAACAGGTGTTTGAGCCTTTGCAAGTAGCAGCTCACATCCCCGCCGCCCGAGACTCCGGCAAGGTGCGGGGTGGAAGGTGGGGAGGGCGCTCTTTCTTTGAATTCTTCGGGTTCCTGGGGCGGGGATGGAGGGACCCTGCAGGTTTCGTCACCACTGCCCGGGGCTCCCGGAGGGCGGGGGTGGAGAGAGAAAGAGGCATCCCCCTCTCCCCGCCTCTGGTCCCCCTTTCTGGTGATGCACTTCCTGCGGCCGAGGATTCCCTTTGTGTTGAAATTCAAGATCCGGCAGTGGCGCGCTGCGCGTGGGGCGGGGGCGCGCCCGGGAGGGGCCGGGATTCCTGAGTGGGCGGTCATACTGTGGTGACGCCCTTGACGTGGGGTCTATTTCCCAGTAAGCCGCTGCTCCTGGCAGCGGGTCAGTCCCCATTCTCACGGCAATTTTTTTTGTGTGTCCTGTGCCAGCTGTGCTTTGTGAAAACCCGAGCTCCTACGGGTGTCCCCCACTCGGCGAGCTGAGCGCAACTGCGGTGTCTCTTTTGACTCCCTCTTGGGCGGAGCCGAGCAAAGAAAGATGAGGGAGTCCCTGCTTCTGCTTGGGTGGCGCATCGCGTGCAAGAAAACCCAGCTGCCTCTGTCGATGTAAAAGCGATAAGTGGCTTGAAGTTCAGCATGAAATTTATTAGTTGTAAGCCACGGCTTGGGCTTATAAAATTTGGACTATAGGGCTGTGTGTGTGTGTATGTAAAAACTATCCTCGTGGGTCTGATCTATGGTTGCCTAATGCAGAAAACCGCTTTCTATTAACAAGCTACAGAGGGGCTTGAGAATGGAAAAACAAAAGAAAACCTCGTTTTCATGGCAAAAGAAGCCTGGCATTTGTCATTCACTGTCTTAGTCTGTCCTTCAGCCCTCACTATAAGACAGGGACTGTTAGGCATGACAAGAGTCCTGCCCTAAATTGAGATTCCAGTCGTGGATCCTCATGTTCCTCCTAAATGCTCGCACCCTGTGTGAGGCCAAACTACTCCATTAAAATACGACGCCCATGGGAGTTTAAGCATACTAAATCCTGTTTGTCACCTTGAAATCAAAGACCAAGAAAGAGTCACCAGGAGAGGCAGGATTTTTCCCTATCAGCAGCCCCAAATCTCATGTCCTTAAAGGAAATCTCCACGGATTAACTAAAAGAATCCGGACTCATTTTATTACAGATAAAAATCTATTCTCTCAGTGGAAGATGTATCAAAGAATTGGGGGTAATATTTTAAAATCTACACATACTTTTTTTTTAGTATTTTGAGTTTCAAAAGGCATTGCCTTGCAATAGTATTCCAAAATTTTATTAAAAATCAATTTTCACTTACTCTGTATGTTTCCACAAACAGATTTATGAGTACAAGGTATAGGTTCAATTCTATAATTCCTTATAGAGATACAAGGCACAAGAGAGACAAATATACATTAAAGTCACTTAAGAAATATAAGCCATGGATAAAGCAATTATTATTTTCATTATTTTCTTTAATGTTGACTGTCTCCCCAACACTTGATGCTGGGACTGAAAAGGGCTTCAGGACTCCCTGTGACTGCTTGAAAGTTTCTGGTCTGTGGGTCCACTTCCTGCCTACAGTATTCAGCCAATATGTGATACAGCTGCAAATACCTTATTGATGTACATGTATTTGACTGTAGGCCTTGAAAATATTCGTAAATTTATTCTAGCAACAAGAATTCTAGCCCTCATAATCATTAAGAATACAAATAAATGAGGGCTGGGGTTGTGGCTCAGAGGTAGAGTGCTTGCCTACCATGCATGAGGCACTGGGTTCAAACCTCAGCATCACATAAAAAATAAAATAAGTATATTATGCCCACCTATAACTAAAAAATAAATATTAAAAAATATTTTTTAAAAAAGAATACAAACAAATGATACAACTGATTGTTACATTGTGTGGGTTCTATTTATGTATTAATACCCTGTTAGGAACTATGGTTTGCCAGCTTTCCTTTCTAAATGTAAATGGCTCTAGAAGCTCAAGTTTATTAATATATTTGACTAATGCTTTTGAATTGTCCTGCTCTAATGTCCAAGGTGGATTTCAGGGGTATGGTCACTACACCTGTTACCCATTGTGTATCAAAACTAGAATTACTGCAATGGCAAAACCTCCAAAGCTACAATCTCAAGATAATCCAGGTTATTCTTCACTAAAAATGGTATTCCATGGCTTATTACAATGATGCTATTTCTCTGCTCATTATTGGGACCCAGATTGGTGGAAATTCTGCTCAAAATGTGTTTTCCTTAGTGGGATAACAATTATCTGGAATTTAAACTTGAAAACTAATGGCCAAATAAGTCACATAGCCATACTAGTTTTAAAGACATAGTAAAATACAATCTAACCATGCGGATCAGGGAAAAATAGTTCTGGAACATTCAAAAACTGACATGTTGTGATGGTGGAAGCATACCACTCAAATCTCATTTCAAGAGAACTTCCTAAGAAGTGTGTTGCTGGTGGCAGCCTACAGCTGCCACAAACTTGAATCTGGAGCACAGTCATGCTGAGCCATGTTCTTCCGAGATTGCTCCCCATCAATGACTAAACATGATGCCAATATTAAAGCTTGGTCATGCCTATGCAATGGGGGAATTCTACTAACAGTTGATCTTTGCTCAGGGATTCCCCATTAGGTTAACAAAGATTTTGTCAATTTTCTCGGTCTACTGCTCATCCTACCCACTGTTCCTTGTCTCCCCTTCCCAGGTGTCAGCCTGGCATCACAGTCTGAAGACCCTGCCTACTCTGTAGCCCATTCCTTATCCTTCACACACTCTTTCCTTGACATCTAGTTCTCTCTTGTCTGCTTTGCAGAAGATCCAACTTGAACCTTGCATTATCAGGGAGATCTCTTGAGAGGAGAGAACCTTGAGCCCATTTGCCAGATTCTATAGTTGATGGTACAACTTGAATAATAATTGTAAAAACCAACAAAGAACAGCTCACATCATTCTTTGTTGCCTTCACTCCAGCATCTATTTCTCACTTTCCCCCAATTTGTCATTCATGATTTACAATGAGCTGTAATCAAACTGTAATCTGGGAAACCATCTGGATATCCTCTCTTTAAATTCTAATAAATAATCTCTTACTAATATCTGTCACCTCTGGCGTCTTCAAATATGTAGGACCTGACTGTGCTTTCTCCATTTTCTCCTGTCATCCTTTTAGTTGATGCACTCATTATTTCTTACTATGAGTATTTTTCTTAGCTGATCTTCCTGTTACAAAACCATTCTTCTTCAGTTCATCCTTCCTGTTGTAGCCACTATGAGGTTTTTTTTTATATATATATAATATAATTATGTAACTCTTTCTTTGAACTCTGTATATCTTTGAGGGAAAAGCACAACTACACTACCTGTCAGTTAAAGCAATTCAAGGCCTATCTCCTACATGGCCCTCTAGCCTCATCTGGTACTCAGGTAGCAATCTAACTCCTACAACACCTTGCACTTGATATATGTTTCATTAGAGGAAGTTCCCATAATGTGTTATCTTCTCTTTCTGGTCTCCATTTGTTTTGAGCACACTGTTAGTCTATCTCAAATGACCATCTCACACTTGCTAACTTTCCTCACCAGTTAAACTCATGACACAAAACAATTTTCAGTGTCAGTCCCACTGAAACCTTTCCTTGAGTTCCTTTATCCAATTTAGGTACTCCTTCTTTGTGATCCTGCAGTA